CCCACTGAGACCTTACTCATAGACACTGTAATTTAAATTTCTTATAATTTTCACATCACAAATCTTTTGATTTTTTTCTGAACCATTCAAAAAGGTAAAAACCATTCATAAATCATGGGCCATATAAAAACAGGTGGTGGCCGTGGTGGAGGGTACACACCACCCTGGAGTTCTGCTGTGAGCCATAGTTTGATGACACCTGGTTTAAGAGAAGAGATTTGTACTTTAATTAATTAATTTACTTACTTACTTATTTATTGAGACAGAGTCTTGCTCTGTCACCCAGGCTGGAGTGCAGTGGTGTGATCTTGGCTCACTGCCTCCTCGGTTCAAGCGATTCTCCTGCCTCAGCCTCCCGAGTAGCTGGGATTATAGGAATGTGCCACCACGCCTGGGTAATTTTTGCATTTTTAGTAGAGACAGGGTTTCACCATGTTGGCCAGGCTGGTCTTGAACTCCTGACTTCAGGTGATCTGCCTGCCTCGGCCTCCCAAAGTGCTGGGATTACAAGCATGAGCCACTGCGCCCGGCTGAGACTTGTATTTTCAAATTTAAAATAAAAATAAGGATTTATAACATGCAATTAAGAAATGAGCTACATTGATTTTTAAAAACCCACCTGACTTTGTTTTAAATTGAAATAGTTTGACTAACCACAAAACTGTCATTCTCAGAATATCTCTTACAGACCTTTATGATTTGCCATACTTTGGCTTTAGTACAACCACATTTTAGAGTGATCATTTCGAGAAATATGATACTTACATCTTTCTAACATTTTACTTTTTCATTTGCCCAAACTAAAAATCAGCAAGACTGGAAATGTAGGAAGTCAAGGGGGCAGAGGATTATAGGATGGAAGCTAGGATCCGAGCAGAGATCTGTAAAGCCAGAATAGACATGATGATTTGTGAAAACAGATGTTTGAGATCTGGAGACCATGATGAGGTGTTGATGAAAAACAGCTTTAGTAGAAATAAGGAGATGGAAAATGGAAAAAATAAGGCTGTGAAAAAAAAAATTCAGAGTTCAAAGGTGATAGATCATTTTGGACATTTATAACCCAAAACTTTGTACTTTAGGTCAGAAGAACTTGGGTTCTATACCTTTTTAAAAAACATTTTTAATTTAAAAAATTATGTCATCTCTGTTTGAGACCTAATTAGCTGTGTTATCTTGGGCAAGCCATGTAATTATTGTGGCTTAAATTCCTCATTCCTTAAATGGAATGATAAATATCCTTTTCCTAGGCTTATTGTGAGGACTGAATGAGATAACTATTTACAACTGTATGACTGTTAGCTTATTATTATGAGCGAGGTTTGAGGACAGTGTTGGAAGGATCAGCAACACAAATCTCAGAGTTGCTGATCATAGCAACTGGACATGCAGCTCAGAGTCTGGTGCTTAAGATTTTAGGGAGGGTGGATCAGATAAGGCGGCCACAGGGGCGGAGCCAAGGGCCTTTGCCTGGCTTGGCCGCTAGCTCTACCTTCCCTGTTCTCACCTCCCTTTCCCCTATAGCCCCCAAAGGCAGCTCCAAACAGTCGTCCAAGGACGACCTGCTCCTGCAGGATTTCAGTGGCAACCTCTCTGCCAAGTCCTTTGCGATCTTTTTCAGGAATGCTTTCGTCGTGTCTGCCATCCGAATCTGGTTATACTGGAGAATATGGCATATGGATCTTATTCAGTCTGCTGTTTTCCATAGTGTGATGACCCTAGAAAGTACATATTTGGTAGCCTTTGCATACAAGAATGTGAAATTTGTTCTCAAGCACAAAGTAGCACAGCAGAGGGAGGATGCAGTGATTCGAAAACTTTCTGAAGCTGATAATAGAAAGATGTCTCGGAAAGAGAAAGATGTAAGAATCTTGTGGAAGAAAGAATGACGTTGCTGATTCTGAAGCTACAACATTTTCCATCTTCTATAACAACACTCTGTTCCTGGTCTTGGTCATTGTTGCTTCTTCTTCATATTGAAGAATTTCAACCCCACAATGAACTACATTTTGTCCCTAAGTGCTTCATCAGGACTCAATGCCCTCCTGTCTACTGGCTCCAAGTAGACCATGTCAGCTTCATCCCCTGGCTTTGTGTCTATGCGTGGCATGTGGTATATGGAAAAGTAGCAGGGTGCTCAGGGTGGGAGACACACGAGATGTTTTTGTAGTCTAGAGCCTTTAAAAAACTCAACAGAATATAATTCAGTATTTGTTTATTGGCTGTTTTTGACAGATTGTTGAAATTAAATGAATTGAAAGGGGAAAAAAAGACTTTAGGGAGAATGTATGCTGCCCTAGACTTCTGCTGACATCTGTGATGAGAAGGCAGAATTCTCTAAATATATGGGATGAACATAATGGGAGATATTATAATAATGGTCTGAAATGGTTGGAAACCTCTATGTTTAATAATGTAAATCCTGTCTTCCAATAAATAAATAAATCTTCTCTACCTTTTGCAGCATCAAGCTCCAAAGACAGGTGAAAGTTCCTAAGTGTTATAGAGAATAGTATAAATAACTCAGTAAATAAAGTATAGCATTAATGCCTCTTTTTTTTCCCCTCTTATTCCTTTGCATCTCATTAGTACCTTTGGCAATATTATTAATCTCTGTCAAGTTATTGTATGATTATCAAAGCACATTAGGTTTCAGAAACTTGTCTCCATTGCTCCCGTATTGTTTATTCTACCCACTTTGGAGGCTAAGGCTCAGGTAACCCATAAAATATATAATCCATGTCTTCAACTTTGCTTCTATATCTGGTTCATCTTCTCCAAGTTCCCTATATTGATTTTCCTGTGTCTCCATTCCAGATTCTTATCTGCTGCCTCAGATAGTGACATGTGCTGTGACTTTTCTTTTGCTACCTGGATTCTCACCCTGCTGCCTGCTCTGACTTCTGGTAACTGCCTTTCTCTCCCTCTATCTGGGCACTATTCTGGTTGCTGAAGCATCTCTAGGATTGATGAGGCGACTCATGGGCCTCTGCAACCCTACATTTCTGTTACTCTGACCTTTAATTCACTGGTGAGATTCAGATGTGTCTTCAAAGTCTGTAACTTTTATATAATGCTTATTTAAAATAAAATTGTAACTCTAAATCTTAAGCTAAAAATACTGTGTGGTAAGACTCTGAAATTTGTATGGTGTAGTTGACCAAAGAAAAAAATAAATTCAAGATATGTCAAGAGATAAATTAGAATAAAAGCTAAGAAGAAAAATCAAAGTTAAATATCGATTATTGAATTCTTTGATGAATTACGAATTGTGGAACAGTATTTAATAGTTTTTTCTTCTTTAGACTTTAGTCTTCTTCAATCTCATTTATTTTTCTGTGACAGTTTAGAAACTCTAGTTGTACTGAGTGGTTCCCATTGTTTCTGTTAGCGATATAAGTTTAATATGGGTTTCTAATAAAACAATGTCAGGTAGACTATGAAACTTGTGGTTTCCTTGCCTGTTTGTAATGACAGTGGGCTCTCTGTTAAAGTTGGCGTTATTGTGACATTTGCATATAGCATGTTAACAGTCACTGTTAGAATGAATGAACATAGCAATATTCTTAAAATTTGGGGTAAAAAATAAATCTATTGTGAGTTTTGATTTATAATAATGAAATTTAAATGTTAAAAATGCTTAACCTTCCTAAGTTACTCTTGTTCCTGATGACAATATGATGGAGATGTTGGAGGTAGATGAGATCCGTTTTCTCCTAGCTCTTAGACACAATGATCAATCACCCTGCTGATTCAGAAGATGTTATACTTCCAACTAGCAAGGGTGGAGAATACACAGCCTTTAGTATACAATAGCAGCTGCTCCTGATGTTGCTATGATTCCTATGAAGGATTTGGGACTTCTGAGACAGATTATGGCCTTCATTCTGCCCTATTCCTCATCACCATGGAAGAACTTGTACATCCTCTGCAGGGCTGTTTTCTGCAATTCTGGAAGAGTTTTCTGGGGCTCCTGTGCCTAAAATCCTTTCAAAAATTCTTGGGAATACTAGATACCATTTTGAGACTCTACCCTGAGGATGTATTATAGAGAAGTAAGATAAAGAAAGACCAACTTGAAGTTTCTCCTTGGGGTCCCAGATTCTCTTCATCTAAAATACATAAATGAGAAACAATAGCATCAAATCACCCTTACTGGCTCCCAAAATGATAACCATACTTGTCTTTTATTAGGTATCAGGCATCTTAGCTAAGATGGTATTATTCTTTGTGTCTTTGCATTTGTAACTAAATGCAGCCAATTGAAAAAGCTCAAGCTCTATTCTTATGTGATGGGCCTCAATTGAAATAATTCAGTAATCACTTATGAAGGGACTTTGCAGATACTGTGCTAGGCACAGACATGCAGAGTAATAAGACCATCTCTGTCCTCAAGGATATTAGTTTAGTAATGGAGACTGAGAAGTAAATGAACAATCACACTGTGGTATGTTGAATCTGGCAAATTACTTGCTCTTCTGAAGCTTTAATCTTCCTGACCTGTGACATGAGAATCTCATAAAGGTTGTTAGAATTAAATGAAATAACAAATGTAAAGTGCTTAGTTTAGAGTTCAGCATATACAGCAAAACGTATTGTAGAAACATGAGAGTGGCACCTTACCCATTCTTGGGGGAGTGGGTTGGGGAATGTCAGGAAAAGCTTCCCAGAGGAGGTGGTAACTGTGAGTGAGCTGAATTCCGAATGATAAGGAAGACGAAGAATGGTTGGAGGTAAGATAGTGGTTCTTGGTTGCTCAGTCTTCCCTCTCTAACTGAGCATCAGACTGCATTGTTGTCAATACATTGTATATATGTCTCAAAAGCATAAAAAGTACTGTTACACAGTTTTATTTTGTTTTTAAACCTGTAGCACCTGTTACTGTCTCCTATCCAAGTACTAACTAGGCCCGAATCTGCTTAGCTTCCAAGATCAGATGAGATTGGTGCATTCATTACACAGTTCTATTTTATATTATGTTATCATTAATTTTCTTTCAGAGAATTAAAGATGGTGGTGTTATTGACTCAATTAAAACAATCTGTGTTGGGGATCATATTGAATCCATAAATGGAGAAAATATTGTTGGGTGGCGTCACTGTGATGTTGCTAAGAAGTTAAAGGAATTAAAAAAAGAGGAACTCTTTACCATGAATTTAATAGAACCTAAGAAGGCATTTGGTAAGTCAGGGGTCGGTGGGTGGGTGTGTGAAATGTTCCCTTTCCCTGATTTTTCTTTCTAAGGGAAATGAGTACTGTGATATGGTGCTTTGTGCTTTTAGTGTCTTCTTATCTAACATATCAGTTAAAAACGTAGAAAATGGTAGCACTACTTATAAGAAAGACAACTATTGAAGGAAGAAAAAAGAAAATTATTGCCTTGTAAAAGGACATTTTCCAAACATTTGAAATTACAAAGTCTAATGTCTAGTGACTGAATTTGATGTGGTTGTTCCTATCTCTGAGAACAACACATTGTATTGTTTTCATTTTGCTGAGCAGTAAGATTTTTGACTGAGCTCTTTAAACCATAATAACTGTTGCTCATGGATCTCAGCAGCAAAAATTGTAGTTATATACAGAATGGTATTTAAAATAGTTATCTGTTCCATTTAAAAGACCTCCTTCCCCAATATCTTTCCTCCATTGGCATTTGAATTTGGCAGCGTGGGATGGTATGAAATTATTTCCACTTTGGGGTGACATCTGTACTTGCTTGGTTTTAGCCATGGCAGCTGTATTCCAACTGTTGTTCAATCACCCAAGGCTATCTCATCTACAGAAAAATGTGCCAGCTTCTCTCTTACCACCCAGAACTATTTTAATAAGCCAAACCAAGGCCTAGCATTCATCAGTGTTAAAATATCTTTAGCAGAATCATCTCAGGCTTGCTCTTACTCATCGTGACCCCATGCACACTATGTTCTTTCCTTTGTTCACAGAACATAAATATTCCTTTTAGTTTGTCTCTAATGCCATTTTCTCAGGGCAGTTATTGGAAATAATGGAAGAATGCAGTGGATCTGGGGAATTACGTTTTCTCTCTCTTAGCAAGTAAGTGACAGGTCCTAGGCATATGGAATTAGAATTTTTTCTCTGCTTCTACATGAGTCTGCACCATTTAACAGAAATACAAGTGTAGGTTATATTACCTGTGGGAGACAGTTTTCCAGAAGGTGTAAGAAAAAGATGCCTTACCAGTACCTCCTGGAGGGAGCACTCCAGGGACTACCTCTGTAGATGCTGTGATTCTGCCTGGTGCCTTGCAGCATCTGAGCTCACTTCTCACAGAGGAAGGAAAGCAGCACTCAGGTTTCTATCTAGTAACTCCTTTCAAGATGGCTTCATTTGGTAACCTGACTCCCCAGATAGCATGGTGAAATAAATTGACAGGGTGTAGATGGTTCAGGATAAATATTCTTATTTGATTTAGACTCTTTGTAAATCAAAGCCATTCTATTAGTACAACTCAAGAAATCTATTTTTTTCTGTATTTATCTCTACTATTTAATCTGTTTCCAGAGTAAATTTTTCTCTGTTTTTTTTTCCCCTCCATTGTCTGCATCTAAATCTTTTGGTCCCTATGTCTTTGTAGAAAGTTGGTGGTATACCTTAACTTGGATGCTAGGTTGGTGATGGTCTTAAATGTTACAAAGGTCATTGTATTTAGCTATTATTGTTCCATGATTAGATTTTCCCTTCAATGTTGTAGACACGTGTACAGTCAGTATACTTCACTGCCTTATGTACCTAACTACTATTGAACCGGCTTTCTGTTGCCTCATGAAATCAATGGACACATTTGCAAAGCACCCTGAGTAGGATTTTCCTAATAGAGGTATATTATTTGAGCACCCTGAATTCTGGTAGTGCTGTTGGTTAGGACACCCAGAGATTGACTTTGGAGGAATAAGTTTTTGTTTTCCAAGGTTTCTGTGGAAGTTTTACTGAAACTGCTGGTCTTTATGCATTTTCCGTGCTGTGGATTGATTCTTGACTCTGGGCTCTAGCGTGAGGGGTTTCTTTCTTAAAAGTAAGCCTGGCTGCTCTGCCTATCCTCCAGCCCCGAATTTTTCTGCTTATTGTTTTGCCTCTGGGATAAAGACAAAGCTACTTTGTTCCTCATCCTTTGGCTTCATCCCAGTGCTTAGCTCTTTGCCAGAGAGGGGAATATAAATCAGGGGGTACTTGGGGAATCAGGCTTCCCCCAATTCTCTTGGTCCTAATCTTATCTTTTGCTATGTTTCCTTCCTTTTTTCCTGTATTTTCTAGCATTATTATTGACTCAGGGCCAATAATTCAAATTTCATAGTCCTTTATGATTATCTGACTCTCTGTCCTCTTGGATTTCTACCAGGAAAAGGGCCAGTCTTAGTGAGGCAGAGTTTTCTCTGCATTCAGATAGGCCACTTTGGCTGTAGCTAAGTCACTTATAGGATCTTAACAAAAGCTGTCAGAAATGGCTATATGCACCAGTATTTTGACATTTTCCTACCACCTTCCCTAAAGACTTAGCCTGGAGAGGCATGTGGACTATATCCCAAATCACAAGAGGAAGGAGCATAGTTGGCTGCTTTGCAATGGCATAACTAGGACTGCAAGCACCGCTTCTTCTTTTTTTTTTTTTTTTTTTTGAGATGGAGTCTGGCTCTGTCGCCCAGGCTGGAGTGCAGTGGCCGGATCTCAGCTCATGGCAAGCTCCACCTCCCGGGTTTACGCCATTCTCCTGCCTCAGCCTCCCAAGTAGCTGGGACTACAGGCGCCCAACACCTTGCCTGGCTAGTTTTTTGTATTTTTTAGTAGAGACGGGGTTTCACCATGTTAGCCAGGATGGTCTCGATCTCCTGACCTCGTGATCCGCCCGTCTCGGCCTCCCAAAGTGCTGGGATTACAGGCTTGAGCCACTGCGCCTGGCTAGCACCACTTCTTTGTAGTGGGTGGGGAAATCCTTACTGCCTGCCTTCATTTCCATATTTTAGGTCCACCACTCGCTACACTCCACTTCCAGGGGCCATTGTATGTGTTAATATTCTTTGATGGAGAGCTATGCAATAAACACTATCTAATTTCAGAAAAAGGCATTTATTGGAGACTACCATGTAGGTCCCAGAAACAGTCAATCGAGCCTTGACAAGGTCAGGAACCAAACCTGTTTCAGGGATGTGTGTACCAGGAACCCTTCATGGCACTGGCTGAATTGACTCCGGGCAATTATTTTCTATTTTCATATCACTTCACTCAGGATTCAGGTGGAGAGGTGGAGCAAGTAAGTAGGTCTTGTACCCATCTTGATAATGGGGAAGGCAGGCTATATGATAGACCTACCAAAATCCCACGTAACAGGAAGGGATAAGTTTCCTTATAGGTAGGAAAAAAGTAGCAGATTCCCATTTTGCTATTTCTCCTTAGCTGTTATATCTTGTTCTGCAGGGACAGCAGTGTTGATTTTCTCTTGATTTTGAATCTGACTGTAGCCATGTATGATATCTGTCAGTCTGGGAGTATTGGAATGGATTTGGAGGGAGAAGGGTATTGTAAATGGTTGTGGGCGTTTGGCCTTGGATTTTATTTTTCTGCTATGAGTTGGGTGCCACATACATAGCTGTTTGGCAGTGGACTATCTAGAGATGATGACAGCATCCAACTTTCTTTCAGAGAAAGAGTAAAGTCACATTTTCCTTGGTGCTGGCCATCAGATTTGGAGGGGACCATAATTACCAATTGTGACTACATTTCTAGAAAGATTTTTAATTTATGTATCTCACAAATTATTGAGACTCTTCTGTGTTTCAGGTACTCTGCGTGGCATAGAAAATACTAAGGAGGAAGACTAAGCTATGGCTCCTGCCTTTTGAGGAGCTCATAGTCTAGCAGGAGGCTGTTATGGGCTGAATTGTGTCCTTCAAAATTCACATGTTAAAGTCCTAATCTTCAGTACCTTAGAATGCAATAGGATTTGTAGATAAGGCCTTTAAAAAGGTAACTAGGTTAAAGAGGTAACTAGGTTAAAATGAGGTCGTTAGGGTGGGCCCTAATCCAATATGACTGGTGTACTTATTAGAAGAGGAAATTTAGACACAGACACAGGGAGGATGCCATTTGAACTTGAAGATAACTATCCATCTGTAAGTCAAGGAGAGAGGCCTCAGAAGAAACCAACCCTAGAGAAACCTTGATCCTGAACTTCTGGCCTCCAGAACTCTGAGAAAATAAATTTCTATTGTTTAAGCCACCTAGTCTATGGTACTTTGTTATGGCAGCACTAGGAAATTATAGAGGATAATAGGAAAAAAATTATAGTACCAGTTCTTTGACTATGGAAGTAGATCTTGGGCTTTCTAATAATCTAGAAGGTACTGGTATTTTAGCATTCCTCTGGCCTTGGGAAGATAGCAAGAGCACACCGATATGTTTCCATTCAGACATTTGTCGAGCAATTAGTATATGCTTGTCTTAGGGTATTAGTTGCCCTAGACAATCATAGTCACCATTTATTGAAAGCCTACTGTATACCTTTACCATACCACCTGCTTGGTACGTGCATGAATAAGATCCAGATCTAGGAACTCATGTCTAGTGAGAAGAGAAGGATATGAAAAAATAAATAAATTTAATAAAGGCTGTTAGAGGTACTAAAATATACTGGATGTATAGAGGTGGGAGACATCAAGTGTACTTAAGAAGTTCAGGAAAAGCTTTTCTTTTCTTTTCTTTTTCTATTTTTTTTTTTTTTTTTTTTTTTTTTGAGACAGAGTTTTGCTTTGTTGCCCAGGATGGAGTGCAGTGTCGTGATCTCAGCTCACTGCAACCTCCACCTCTCAGGTTCAAGTGATTCTCCTGCCTCAGCCTCCTGAGCAGCTGGGACTACAGGCATGTGCCACCATGTCCGGCTAATTTTTTGTATTTTTAGTAGAGACAAGGTTTAGCCAGGATGGTCTCAATCTCCTGACCTCGTGATCCACCTGCCTTGGCCTCCCAAAGTGCTAGGATTACAGGTGTGAGTCACTGCACCCAGCCAGGAAAAGCTTTCTAAGGAAAGAGATTTGAGTTGAGTCTGAAGGGATGAATAGTGCTTACTTAGTGGATGAATTGGGGAAGGTTGTCCTGGGAAGTGGGAACAGAATAAGCAAAGTTACAGAGATAGAGAATAGCATTATATATTTGGGAACACCATGTTTGCC